TGAAGTCAATTTATTCATAACGAAACGTTATCGCAAATTTTAAAAACCTTTTTTATAACATTTTATTGTACTTTCTATATATTATATAGAAAGTAAAAATACCTGGGCGGAGCAACTGAAAGGTGCCCTCCTAAAACGAGAAGACTGTAATGTGATATTGGTAGACTGGTCTGAAGGAGCAAAAAACCAACCAAGCGTTGATGTCTTAAAGGGCTACCTTCAGGCTGCAGGGAACACTCGACTGGTAGGGGCTCAGGTAGCAGAGCTGATAAGGTTCCTGATTTCTAGTAAGTCTGCGCCACCTGACTTAGCCAAGAAGTTCTATATTGTGGGATTTAGCCTTGGTGCCCAGGCCGCGGGGTATGCTGGGAGTTATTTGTGGAATAAAGCCGAGATGTCGCTTGGTCGCATTACAGGTACGTTTTGACAAAAAAAATTGTTTTAGATAATGACATGCATTAAACTCCCAACGAAAACCTTCGCTGCTGAAATAAGTTCCCATAATTACGCCAGAAACCGTCTTGCTGACTGAATTTTCAGACCATATTTACATTTACAAACGCAGTGCGCAAGGTGAGGGCATTTTGGTCTTTAGATTCCGCCCTTAACGTTGTTTTGAATCCTCAGTGGAGAATAAGTCACTTTTTGGTCCTCGCATTTCATGGTCGAGTATTCCAGAAAAAAATCGGACAGAAGGTTAATAAAGTAAATTGAATTTATGGGAAATTTTTATTAATTAAATAATTTTTTCAATTGATATATCTGGTAGATCAGCCAAGGAAAGGAAAACTATGTCGTTAATTAGCTGGGGGGGGGGTAATTATTCATTACAGGGGGGTTGTGGAGGATTTTGGAGGATGATATGGTTCTCAAGGGGAACAGAGTGAGGGTCAATTGATGCTAATAAACCGATGAAGTGGGGATCAAACAATACCAGAGAGCCTTAAGGGAGAAGGGTAAATTTTATCGTGACACTCCCCCCCCTCAACCAGGTGATAAATAATGACTTTGAAAGCTTGCTAATAAATGCTCTCAAGATCTTTGACCTGAACGCGTTGTTTATTTCTCTTCACAGGATTAGATCCAGCTAATCCCTTTTTTAGGAACGCTGGCGTTAACTACCGGCTCGACCCAAGTGACGCTGTGTACGTTGACGTCATACACACTGACATGGATGCCGCCGGGACAGATAAAGTGACAGGTCATACGGACTTTTATCCAAATGGAGGAAAAAATCAGCCTGGTTGTAAGCACCATTGGTTTGGGCTCGGTACGTAAATGAGTCATAAAAAGCAAATCACATGATTATTTTCACTCTTCTCGTTAAGAAATAAACTAACCAAGTGTGTTTACCCACGCGACTTTGCGCGCTTGTTCACTGGCCTTTTTGATTTGAAAAAGCTGTCCAGGATTAAGCCTAGTGGTCAGGTAGTAGACGAAACGAAAATTACTAGTTGACACCAACCTCAAATATACGCAGCTCTAGATAACAAAAAACAGGGCTTTTACTCAAGTATAAGATATAAGTTCGAACATGGCAAAAAACGTCTTAAAATTGAACTTTGCACATATTTCTGTGGAGTGTAATCGGCATAGATTACTGATTTCAGTCAGTCTAATAAAGTGGCAGTTTTCTTTTTAATAATCACATCGCAAGTTAACGAAAACTAAAGCAATTTTGGGCTCAATTTTCTCCAGACGTGTTGAAGGCTCTCGCCTGTGACCACATGAGAGCTACAGAGTACTACATTGCATCAGTTGTTTCAGCGTCAGACAAACCTGATTGCTCCTGGAGGGCGTATCCATGTGCAAGTTATTCTGACTTTGAGAAAGGAAGGTGTTTGACATGCAAGGAGGAATGTCCCATTGTGGGATACTTGGCTGACCAAACAGAACGAAGAGGAAAATTTTACCTTAAGACGACCAGCAAATCTCCTTTCTGCGGTATGTAGGCCTCATTTATTCCTCTGGGTCTTCAGAAAATGTTTAGAAGTACATCGTCTAAGATTTATGGTTTAACCATATCACTTTGATTTCGAAATTTAAAATGTATGCGCTAACTAATGATACAGACCTTCGCAATTTGAATTTAAAAGTATTTTTCAGTAACTTGTGTCGTAATCTTCTATGCTCCACAGGGTTGAACTAAAGTATCTCCAAAGACAAGAATGCTGTCTAATTCACTGATGAGGAAATTTTGCTGCTTCTATGATGGATAGGGAAATACAATTATGTTGTTGTGGTGGTTTAAACAATTTTTTGTAATAATTTTTTAAACAACTCATTAAAACTAAACTAGTGAGCAGCACTTTGCGAACAGTCGTTGTAAAACTTGTTTATTCTGCAACGCGTATCGTCTAGCTGTCGTAAACTTCTTCAGGGAGTAAACACTAAACGTCTGTGTTTATAGGCCTTAGTAACCAGTTATAGCGTGGGATAATAACCTTAAAGGCTTGACCGGATTTACGAACAGGAAAGGCGAAATTGTGAAACTGTTTTTGAAAACTTTCTTAGGGCAAGGTGAGAAAAATATTTGGGGGCCACGGTTCTAGCTAAGAAACAAAATAAATTGCCACTGCGATCAAAAAATGCGATAAGGATTTACATCTGTTTTGTTTTTTGTTTTTTTGTTGTTTTTGTCTTTGCTTTTCTTTTTTCAATGTAAACTTGAGGATTCGAACAGGCGGGTATTCAAATTAGACCATGGCCGAAACTCTGTTTGATGGAAATATCGGGGGGGCCAAAGGTAAAGGTCACGAAACACTTTGCTGCGATAGACAACTCCTGACCTTTCAAATTTTGCCAGCGTTCTATTGTCTGCTGCAAAGAGCCTATCATTAAAACACTGACGATATAACATAAACTTAAAACAACAAAAGCTACTATCATCTCCAAACCAGAGTTCAGATGACACCCAATTCAATGATAAGTGTCTCGTCTCGATACTGATGAATTCGACAAATCAACCTTTTTTTCTAGTCAAAGAGTGAGGTAAAAAGCAAAGTAGAAAAGAAGCAGACGGATAAAACCTGTTAGAACTGAAAAGCCCCCAACATAAATAAAAGGATAAGGAAGATAAAATAGTTTCATTATGCGCAAGTGTCAGACAATTTCATTTCTGAGCCAGCCTGAGGATAATAATTACTCAGCTGTCTCGACTTTGAGAGAGTGCGTCGTGCTTTGTTGAGTATCAGTGCTGATATATAGCTTGCTTTACTTTCCATCCGATTAAGACGTCTCGGCTCGGTGTTCACCCGATAGTTATATACAGACATGCCTTGACTCAGTAAATAAAGAAATAATGATATGTCCGCTTCTTGTAAAATAAAATATTTTTTATGAAGGTAAGTAACATCGATACATTACAAAGCCTATCGAAAAAAGATTTATGAAATACGCTCTTGTTATTTCGGAATATTTACGTTTTTAAGCTGATCAAATAGATTACAGGAGGAAGTTTGATTTTGAATTTTATTATTGATTTCCCCGACTGAAAATTAACCTCTCCAAAAATCGACAGTAAACAGAGAAACGATTTAATAGGCCGAGATGGCGGTTGAATGAAAGTGGAATGAGATCGAAATCAGTTTGCATAAAGCGTCAAATAAGCAACTGAAATATCACAAATACGATTGTATAAAGAAAAGTTATGAAAGGATCTTTGGTTCCAGAATTAAGACGAAATGTTAGGGAAAAACTTCCTCTGAACCTTTGAACATATTTCTAATTTCTATTTCTCTCTTTTCATGATTGGAACAAAAAGATAAAGTTTTCAAAACCTCTCACACCTAGTGACGTAACGGAAACGAAAATCAAACAATATCTCCTACTGAGTTAAGAATTAGTTTTTTATTGTTAAAACAATCAATTTTGTTAGTTTGCACAGCTGAGGTCTTTCTTTGATACAGTAGTTCAAAATAAGATTACTTTTGTAGCAGAGTTCATTTGTGAATCACAGTAAGTCAATCAGGAACCACTATTGCATCAAAGCCACTGTGGGACGAAAGTAATGAGCGCTTTTCTATTTATAATCACCTTCATACTAGCAGGGTTGACGGGCGGTGAGTAGTAACTATAAAATTAAGACGTGTATTTTTTCCCTTTTCTAAGCTATTTTGCACAAAGCGTAATAACGCAGCTGAGGGTAAGTGTATATACTTTTCCTTAACAATCTAGTTCTTCTATTCTATGAGCACGCTTACATTGTGTTCGGAGAAGACAATTTAGTCCTCGTAAAAAAGTTAGAACTCATCTAAAACATGGCTGCCCAGGTTTATATCGACCAAACTCTCCGTTTATGTACTCAAAGTGAAGTATTGGGTTCATAAGCGTTGCTTTGATGTTTGAAAATTCGCCGATGAGACTTCAGCCCAGTATAAATGCGTTTAATTGGAAGAAAGATGAACAATAAAATATGTACAATAATAATAACGATAAAGAATAACAGTAAAGGATATGTTAAAGCTAAAATAAAAGACAAAGACATGATTGAACACAGTGTTTCATGACACAAGGGAATGATTGAAAAACAAAATGACCTCTGAAAAGATTCATATATGTTTATTTAATACTATCATAGCTCTTAGCTGTGTATTTCTAAATATCCTTGGCGCTTTAGAAGGATGCTTGCCTTCAGTTTTATTTATTAAGTTTCAAATACGATATTTCAGCACTGCTGATCATAGCAAAAAAATTTGATGCATGGCCTAGGTTTCCCAGCTTTCTTGAGTTCTTTCTAATGAAGGATGATGATCTAATTGCTCCCAGTAGGAGTCAAACCTACGACATTCCGATTATTACTTCGGATGCTGTACCACTGAGCCTGCTATGAGAAACTCATGGCAGGCTAGGCTGTTTAACTATGTCCATAGAGACAAACTTCCTGCTTGTTACCAGAATAGGAAAATCGATATGTGATGCTTCAGCGCAATAATGATGTAAATGAAAATGGTTAATTTAAGCCTGAAACAAAAACAAAAGTGTGATTTTGGAAAGAAATCATGTTTCCCTGCCTCCACTTTCTTGACATCACGGACAACATCTTTATATCTTTTTTTATTGCACCTGGATTAGCTAAAAGTACAAGGTGCTATGGAAAGTATGGATGCTACAGCAACAAAGCACCTTTCAATAGAATCGTTCTACTTCCTCTACCCCCCTGGGTAGTCAATCCCAAATTTCGCCTTTACACCAGATTACATCCAGACACTCCACAGTTTATCGATGATAACGATGTGACCAAACTTCAGCAGTCGAACTACAATGGAACGAAAAAGACCGTTTTAATAGTCCATGGATATGTTGGTGAGCTTGCCATTATAAAAAGAATGATAAAATGTTTTTATGTAGCCTTAGGAAATTGTATCTTTTGTCAGCTCAATCGGGAATAGAATATTGGATATTTTGTAATAAAGTCGCCGTGACAAGGCTTACGGGACCATTCATTATTTATCACCAGGGGGGGCCAGAGGATTTTAGCCGGAGGGGGGGGGGGAGGATGACACGGTTTACGGTTTTAAGGGAAAACAGAAGGAAATCAGTCATCACCAAAAGAGTGTAAAGGGGGACTATGGAAAATTGACTGAAAATTAACTAACTATGAAAGTGGATCATAAACATATTACAGGCCTTAATCAGGGATCATGTAAATTTTGTCGAAATACAACCAAAATCATCCAAATGACCGGTCCCAAGGAGAATACTTTTAGAATACTTTTAGAACGAAACAGAAGGTCATGCCATGGCCCACTGGGGAGATGATGGAGGGGGTGGGTGGAGATATCAGATTAGTAACTTAGAAATAAAAATAGTAACTTTTCTTGATTATTGTATATATATGTATATATATTTTTTGTTGTTATGATTATAATTCTTGGCCACGCTTTTAGAGATCAGGCCTAAATGGATGGAATACATAAGAGATGGCTTGCTAAGGAACTTTGACTGCAATGTGATATTAGTAGACTGGTACACAGGTAGCCTTCCACCCTATGTGCAGGCAGCAGGGAACACACGCCTGGTAGGCGTCATGATAGCAGAGCTGATCAAGTTCCTAATATCTAAGGCCCAAAGCTCCGTGGAGCTATTTCACGTTGTAGGCTTCAGCCTTGGTTCTCATATCGCTGGGTATTGTGGGACAAGATTGAAACAAGAGGGGCTCATATTGGAAAGGATAACGGGTGAGTTCGGAATAGAGTACGCATGCTCTAATCGCTTGTTAAAGGCAAGAACTACATTCATTTCTTCATTTTTTTGATGATTACTAATTCATTTATTCATTATTAATTTATCGTAAATCAATTATTCATTTATCTATTTCTTTATTATTTATTATACTTTACGTATCTAAAAGCTATTTTTCTTCTTCTTGCAAAATCTGCGAAGGCCTGGACCCCGCTGGGCCACTGTTTTCAACAACACACCCCCTGGTGAGACTGGACCCCAGTGATGCTCGTTTTGTCGACGCCATCCACACAGACGGTGACCGCTTTGGTTTGTATCAAACTTCCGGTCATTTGGACTTTTATCCTAACGGAGGATTGGACCAAACAGGCTGCGCAAGCATCAGTAATGGTAATAAATTTATTATGCATGATGGATTCATTGATTATTTTATGGAAAAGCGGCCTGCAACAACGTAGTTGTCATTGTTAACGTTGTTTGTCACCGATATCGGTCCCTTCCCTAGGATTATACTACTACGCTATCGGCTTTTTGTCATGGGTTGAATTCCTGTCTATATTACATCCATTTTGAAATCCTTGGTGGTCCCTGTAATCTGATTGGCTCTAATTGATGCGATTTATTCATGAATCGCACCATTCTTTGCTTTAAATCGCATCTTTTTCCCAGCCACTGAGGAGGGTACGCTAAAAAACAAAACAACCAATCAGAATTCAAGGCTTGTTTAAAGTAATCAATCAAATTGCAGAAATGTGAAAGACAGAGAGTACCACATGGCAGATTTTGCAACTTTTGTTTCCAAAACTCTTACTTTTTCCCCCCAAAAAATGGATGAATTTAATTTCAGACCGGCTCAGTACTGCATCAATAAAATATTTGAACTGACCAAGTCCTGTATTTGGGCTATTTCAAAAAGAATGTAATAAAATGGTAATTGAACCTCATGTCGTGCAATTTTGGTCTGAAATCATACTTGTGATTTCAAATCGAACTTACGCTGCGCGCTCGTTCGATTTTAAAATCACGCGTATGATTTCAGCTCAAATTGCACTTCACTTAGTTCAATTACCATTACTAATACTTTATAATCAATTATTTATATTTCTTTTCAGGTATCCTGAGTCCTCTTTTGTGCGATCATTTTCGAGCCACAGATTACTTTATTTACTCGCTGTCCCAGCAATGCATGCATTCTATGAAAGGATTTCCTTGCAGTGATTCCAACGGATTTGATCGCGCCCGCTGTCTCCAATGCAAAAATGGAAACTGTCCTGATATGGGATATAACGCCGTGAAGTACAATGACGGCGGCGGTAAAATACTGGGAAGACATTTCTTATATACCACCAAAAGTGTACCATTTTGCGGTAAACATCACGTTAATCGTCTTTTGTTCAGGTCTGATAATCTAGACCCTATCATACCAGAGAATGACCCTTGTAGCCCTGAGGAAGGGAAGCTATGAAAAATGTTAGGCCAAGAAGGAGAATGTTCTGAAATTAATTTCACATCCTTCGAAAATCATCGCCGTTACTTATCGGTCATGTTTTCCCAATTTTGCTGTTACCTTCTTTGATTAAAAAGATATACTAAGTAATTTCTACGGAAAAACCTTACTGAATCTGTCCCAGATCAGCTCTTCAGATTCAAATTACATTCCCTTGCTTAAAATTGGTGTATAAACGAAATTTTACAAGGCTACCATCTAGACGACTCCTATACGACTGTTCGTCGTAATTTCCAACCGCTATTCAATTTCGCTGACCAAATTTTTACACTCCTTTCTACCTCAATTTTCTCATTGCAGTTCCTTATTACACCGTGATCACATTCAAGACGTCTTGGTCGTGGCTAGTGGGGTTATTTCGGGCTCGCATTGTCGTCAAATTAATTGGATCAAACGGAGAATCTGATTACATGCAGCTTCAAAGGTATCGAAACCTAGTTTAAGAAGTATGACCTAGTACCAAATGACAATGACAACTTTCTTGATATTCCCTAAGACGGAAATACATTTGTTTTGTAAAGATTAGTCTGTTTTTTCAATTGTCAGTCGTAGTCTGAAGCGCGGTAGTGATGAAACCTTCGTGATGCCTGGATTAAAAAAACTGGGAGCTTTGCAGAAAATTCAAATACAGCAGAAGTATTTATCCTGGCTGTTAAAATGGAAACTCATCAAAGTTACTGTGATGAAGCCTGGATGGACCGGAACGCAGTTAGACAGGAGCAACACACAGTCGTGAGTTCATTTTGGATTGAATTTAATTTACAAAGTGAAGGGGTTATATCACCGATTAGTTACAAATCTTCTTTCAATTAACCAACTCTTGCTCCATCCATCCATCCATTCTTTCGTGCATTATTCATTTTTTCGTTAAATTGTCACTTTTTCTTTCTTTTTCCATATCCATGTCTTTTAGTATTCGTTTATTCATCACACATTATTCCTCTTTCCGTCGACGCATTTGCCTTCCCTTTAAATATTCGTTTTTCGTTACTTGTTGTCCAGTCAAGTTTTTAATTCAATCTGTGGTTACTTCTCTCAAATGTTCCATCGTGAGTTCGTCCGTTCATCCGTCATTAATTAATCACTGTTTATCTATAACTTTCCTAATAGATATTCAGCTTGCTTCAACGCCTTTGTGGGAAGCAGAGGAGTCTTGCGGAATCTACAGCAAGGAGATGTATCTTGTTGAAAGTTGCAATTGTATCTGTTCCATTAAGTCTTCTGAAAAGCCATTGTTGATTCGTGATTTTTCATGATGTGTTTTCGGTAATAAACGGGCCAAAAGAGGGGAGAATGAAAAGGAATAGATATGAACAAAGAGAAATAAAAGTAGACACATATGAGTGTTACAAATTTTACATCTGAGTTCCAAAACAACACTTATTTGAAGTAAACTTTATTAAGTCATTCCAACAAGTTAATTGTTTTATGTGTATTTAATGTAGTAGGTCGTTGTTTTCGTTTCTTTTGATCACGTGAGATTAGCGACTGTAATAGATTAATCATTTTCATTCTACAAACTCCGTACTTTAATTACTAGTAACAAACCATCAACCGTTAAGTTGTCATTCGTTTCTTTTGAGCACGTGAGATTAGCGTCTGTAACAGATTAATCATTCTCACTCTGCAAACCCTGTACTTTAATAATTAATAACGAACCACTAACCGTTAAGTTGTTATGCTCCTCTCTCTGCCCCCTGTTGAGTGTGGGAAGGAGAGAAATTTTTCTGACAGTGCATCAATTTGTTAGGAAGAGCTACGTCGCGTACTGTGCGTCTTGTAAAAAATGGCTTCTATCAATATCTCAAGTTGGTGGTTTGAAATCCGTAAAAATCCTTGTTTATTTTCCGTTTAATCATCCTGTTTTGATTTTCTTTTTTGCCAAAATGAATATTTTTTTGTGAACGTTTCCTGAACGCCATAGGCAAAGTAATTAAAAATGCTTTGACGTAACCTCTTTACGACTACGTAGATGATGACACACAATTGTGTTCACCGAGCCGGTACATCTGCAGCCGTAGAGAGCCAGGGAACCTTTGGCAACGCGCTGTTTACTTGTAATCCTACTATTGACCCATGTTATAGTTTCACTTTCTTACAAGAATGGAATTGGAGCCAAAACCTCGCTTTCTAAGCTTTCAAGACCCTATCCAATCATCTTCGGAGGATGATAACGCCTCGCGTACCTCAGCGAGACGTATGTCAGCGATGTCAGAGGCGAGCACAACATCGTCCTCCCGACGCATTTCGGTTATCCAACCTGGACGAAAAACTTCCAAGGCGACCTCGTATGTTTCACCTTACCGCTCATGGCGCGGACTGTCTGATTCCCTCCGCGATCAGGCGGGGAACGACTTTCAAGGAGACGTGAAGAAGCAAGAGGTTGAGAATACCTACCGCATGGAGCCGAAGAGGAAATTTCCTCAGCGAGAAGTAAGGGAGATCATTAAAAACAGTTTGGAGGCGTTGTTAGGCGCGTTGACTTATTCAGGCTCCGAGTTTGGATTCCTCACAAAGCTGCTGAGTTCAAGGATTATGGAACAAGTAAAGAGTCTTAATATTGAACGATATAAGCTTGTCTGTGTTGTCAACGTGGGGTCGAAACATAATCAAGGTCTAAGGGTCGCAAGTCGATGTTTGTGGAACCCGGATTCAGACACGCATGTCACAGCAAGTATCGAAAATGGCACGTTATTCGCTGTGGCTACTGTATACGGCGTTTACTTCGAGTAACTGAACAAAAATCAGTCAGGAGTAAGGGATCACTCGCACGATACCACTTAAGACTTCAAATTGAAAGGAACATCACGCTAAGTCCAATATATCACGACATCAGTCAGTAGCTTGCCTTGATTCTTGTTAAGATATACTATGTTCTGAACGATTTAAATGGAGTGTAATTCATTGATCGACCCTCTTAGCGCGATGGCGTTCATAAACACCGCCATAAAAAAGCTGTTTTATCAGAAGTATTATAAACGACGTACATTCTGAGCATAATGATCAGGTTGGAAACCAACATAACATTGTTTCAAATACAGTGTTTATTTTTGTTACTATGCACGCTTGATATTATAATCTCAGCAATATGAAGAATCAATCTTGTTCTACTCACGAAAAAGAAGAAAAAACAAATAAACAACACCAGAAGAAACTCTAAAGGCAGAAAATTATATACGAAATATCAAGTTTCTCTTTACCATACGAAGACGATTGTGAGGTAAATAGGAAAAGCCGTTATGTAAATTTTTTTGCCACAGTTCGCTTCACTGACCCGTTTAAATTAGACTTGAAAACCTCAAATTAAAATAATGACATCAAAGAGATTTTGCATTAATAAACTTAGAACTTACTTCTTCCCGTGAAGCATTTGGTAGGAAAATCATTATAGAGAAAAGAGAAAACTGAATATTCATGTTTTATACCTGGTACCAAAGCCCTTTTTTCTTTCATGTTGAAAATTAAAGCTCATAATTCACGAATTCAAGAAACCATGTTAATTGAAAACAATGTATGCATGTTCATGCCCAGGCCAAATCAAATGAACACTATTTTGGCATGAATATGTTGAAATTATTTATCTGATACAAGCTCGGCTCGGGCGAAAGAAGTGCCAAAACGGCGCGAGAAGTACCAAATCGCTGAATTATTTTTATAGATAAAACTAGTCTCGTCGATTTGGGAACTGTGGATAATATATAAACTAATTAGTTTAACTAGGAATTGCAGCGCGTGAGTTTAGGTACCCTGTGTCATGTAATCTTGGTGGTAAATAAACCGAGCACTTCTCTAAACTCGCTTTCGAACGAGTTATTTAAATGAGTTGAACTCTTTTCCGTTTATGTAGTTGTCTTCTCTGTGGATCGGGGATATATGAGCAAATATTTGATTTTCAGAACAAAGCTACTTTGAACGTCAAAATCGATCTTGTTAATAATCGCTTCCAAATTGTCTTAGACAAAAAGTGGTGTAATTTTTTTCCATGTAAGTATGTCAGTTGGACTGAATGTGTCATGATCTCTAATAGACACATATAATTTTTACATAGCTCTAAATGTCATAAACTCGATTTTTCATTTTTTTTTGTTTACCACACAGTGAAACTTGGAAAAGCATCTTTGTCAAAGAAACTTTCGTTACGAATAGACCCACACTCCAAAATAAAATGATGATAAATGATAATTAATATTTATGGAGCTTCTTTTTCGGCTTTCATCATTGCAGAACAGAGAAACGCTGGGGAAAAAACTGTTAGGAATAATCTTGCATTTGTGTGAAAAAAACCGTAAAGGCTTGGCTTAATACAAAATGATATTTATTGTAAATTATCCAGGTGCTATGGATCACAATGTTCCCACAGTAATAAACTGCGGAATTTTTTTTGTTTTTGGTTTAACGCAAATTTAAACAGACATTTAACACTTCACAAACTACTTTGATCCCTTTTGGAAGAGGAAATGTTTTTTTTTTATTTCCTTTAATCTTCCTTTGTTGGGGTTTTTGCGGATTAAAAATGTAACATGAAAGAAAATTATAGACGAAATTCACTTCCTTTTAGGATTCTGCCAGATGCGATCTGTGCTGTCGGTCAAATTTTAATTCAGTTCTTTTCCTTTTGGCACAAAGTAGCAATACGTTTTCATTTTTTTAAATAGTTTTCAACTGTTGAATCAACCAATTTGAATCAAAAAAAGAACGTAACTCAAAAGCGTCCGACAAGTTCTGAATAAACAGAACTAACTTAGAGAGTGTAGTCCATGCTAATTGTAAAACGTAGGTTTAAAGAGATCGAAAGAGACCTTACAATGTTAAAAGACCATAATTTCTACAACCAACAGATTACAGAATGAAAGAGACCAAAAAAATTACGGAAAAAGAAACCAAATAAAAAATCAAGTCTTGGTCTGACTAGTATTTTTTTTTAAATGAACGACGAAGTCATACGGGTTAACAAAACGCTCAACGAGGCCAAGGAAACAAATACGCAGAAAAAGAAACACGGTATAACTATTTTAGTTGTGTTGACTTTCGTTATTACAAACTGCTGGCATCGGATATCTTGTTTCAAGTTCTTAATTGAATGAAGATATTTCAACAGTTATAGAAAAACTCCATTAACTGAGAGGCCATCAGTGAATTTCCTCATCTAAGTGCGTTCAAAGCTTCTTAATAGACCCCGCACGTAGGAGGATCAAATTTCAAAGAGAGCTTGTTTCCCGAAGGATTTCCTGGGCTTTGTCTTCTTTGCCATCTCTGAACAGACATAAAAACGGCGTTCACGAAACGTTTTTCAATGATTCACCGTTTACCCAGATTTGCCAGTTGGCACTCTTTGGGTCTGTTCGAGACCTCGACCTCAGAGAAAGAGAAATGAGTCGATTTTTCTCACTTTTTCTGCATCTAACCCTCTTCCTCTACCAGGTGAGTAGGGCGTAAATGTAATAATCTCAGGGAACGTATTTACAACAAGGGAAATAAGCTTCATGAAATTAAAGCAGTCTACCTCAAAGGGACCTCACAGAGAGGAAAATTAAAGGAGCATTTAGTCAACCAAGAAAAATCGGTTTTCCGTTTAAGGTTGATTCTCTTATTAAGAGTTTTCCCAAATTTAAGTTTAATTATACTTTACCTTCGAACAACCTCTTAACACCTAACAATCAAACTGCAAATAACGATACTTTCGTTGGAAGGCCGACAGCCAAATTCCTCTTCTAAATTGAAACGATTTTTCTTGTTTCCATAAACACTCAATAGCTGTAGCTATTTCAGAATATACTTTTCGCTTTGAATTGGTGCTCGGGAATGCATTTGACTCTCCGAAAAATTACTATATAACTGATGATTTGATAGCTATAATTTGTGTTGTTTTACAGAGGAGAGCCGCTGCAAGACAAGACCTCCATACTTTTCTATCAAATGATGAATTAAGAAGATATTTACATACAGATTCCCACGAATCAGGTCAGGTGTCTCACATGATGCTTTCGTGATGATGACATGATGCACACGTGATGCATCACATGATGCTTTTCTTTCCCAACCAGCGAATTTTGACGTTAGTAAAGCAATAATTTTAACATTAGTGTCTATCCTTAGTTCCAGAATACGATGTCATACGAATCTATAAACACAGAGGCAAGCGAAGTCCATTTTCCACAAAGCAGGACTACAGACTGTCAGCATTTGGAAAAGACTTTGCACTGACGTTGCAACAAAATGATGACGTCATTCCCGACACAGGGCTGCCCATAGAGAGGCGAAAAAGAGACGGTATGGTTGTCAAAGAGATCCACCGTCCACATGGAAGATTTTATGAGGGTCACGTAACTTCGGATCCAAATTCTCATGTAGCTGTTCGGGAGACTGATGATAAGGGTCAGCTGGTAAGTTATGCTAATCTGAAAATACGTCACCGTCGTAAGATATTTCGGCGTCATTTTTTTTTTTTTTTTTGAGATTTAAAGTACAGAGTTTTTAATTCCAAGCAATAGAGAGTGAAGGAAAGAGACTACAGGCTTAATATAGGTGTTGTTTAAATGGCCGCAGAGCAAGGCTATTTTTATTCTCAAAGTATCCAGTCTCAAAGGAATAATTATAACTAACTCAGAGCGAGAGGTTTAGTGAGTGATTTGCGGAAAAAAGAAGGTCCACCTAGGCAGAATTTGCGTCTTTGGCTTGGCTATTTACAGATATTAGTGGGAATGATGCTGTAAGTCTCTAATGAGCTTGGCTCATCTCTTGAAAGCGGTCCATAAAAAGTTATTAAAAATTGTAAATCTTGTAGAGTGGTGCTTTAGTGAGTGGTGGCCATCTGTACCATTTGGAGCCTCTATCAAGTCATCTTCATCGGCGAGCGGCATTACAAGGATCTGAGTACCATGTCATCTCCAAACGAAGCATTCGAGATATGCTAAACCAAAACCTTATGTCTACTCATAATAAAGGTATTTCTAATTTATTTTACAAACGCGACCCTGGATATAAACCAACTTATATCATAACATTACTCCACTTGGAAAACCAGCATTTCCATTGTTCACTTTTTCTTTCTTTCCGATTTCTTGTGATCACAAAGGCATTGTGAATTAGCAGGGGGGGGGGGGGTCACACCACAGTCCTGTTTTTATTTACTCAAAGCGAGTCAGAGCAGTTAATGCCAATCTTTTTAAGTAAATTTTCCTCTCCATACCAGGTGATCGCCTTCCCCCCCCCTCCCCTCACCACCTCTGCCCTTGCGCAGTCGTCAGTTTTTTTGCCAACAATTTAGAGATCATTTTAAGATTTCCAACGGTGCTTCATTTTTCCCTAATTACCAGGGAAGACGCAAGAACAAGAGGAGATCCAAGTTGATCAGACCGAGACTCCCAAGAGTAGAACTAAACGTGACAACATTTACAATGGCAATATATATATCGAGGCCATGCTTACCGCTGACAAAACAACCTGCGATTTCTATGGCAACGGCACACTTGACTACCTCCTGAACATTGCTAATCTAGTAATAATAAGATGAACTTTCAGTTCTTAGTGAAACATAGATAAATAAAGAGTTGTTTTTATTTTTGCCAAATTAAATATTTCGTGCAAGACAATATGGATATTCAAATCAATATTATTTAAAATTTGCCCATGTGCTAGTTAGTCAATCTCAGCCTCGAATCTACGATCCTGTTGGCTTCCCAAATTGAATTATTTTTTTTCTGATTTCAAATTAAACTGTCTCCGGAAAAAAGATAGTTAATGCAATAATCGAAGCCATGTTTATCGACGCAAGTCATAGACACTATTGGGACCAGAGCCCTCGATCCGTTCCGCCGGCCAAACGATCAAGTTAATTAAGCAAATGCGAAGCTGTTGACTTTCCATTTTTAACATTTTTTTTTCAAACTTTTCTTGGTTCAATTTTCATATAGGTCAATCGGCTTTACAAAGATAAGTCCATTGGAATGCCCGTGTCCTGGGTTCTCACGAAGGTCTTCCTCATCGAAGGGTTCGACGTAAGTGGGAGTTATCAAAACCTGCAATTTATACATCAATGAAATTTATAATTTTTTTAATTGGTTTTGTTCGTTTGTTTTTTCCTGTCTTTACGAATA